CCTTGCCCCCCCCCCTGGCTGGCTGGGGGGAACCCTGCTTTCTACTCCAGCCTCCTCCACCGCCATCCTCCTTTTCGTCATCCCCAAGATCCAGGAAGATGCTGGTGTCAGCCGAGATGTGCTGTTTTTGCTTCGATGTGCTCTCCTGTCACCTGTATGGACACCAGCAGCCCCGGACCCCCGGCTTCGCCAACGAGCCCTACCCACTGTTTGTGACATGGAAGTTTGGTCAAGACGAAAGATCGCGCGGATGCCTAGGGACTCTTTCTGCCGTGACTTTGCATTCCCGACGCAGGGAGAACACACTTATCAGCGCCCTTAAAGACCCCCGTTTTCCACCACTGACAAGGGACGAGCTGCCTCGGCTTCTCTGCTCCGTGTCTCTGCTCACTGACTTTGAGGACATTTGTGACGATTTGGACTGGGAACTGGGTGTGCATGGCATTCGAATAGAATTCATCAACGAAGAAGCATCCAGATGCACCGCCACCTACCTACCGGAGGTCGCAAAGGAGCAAGGATGGGACCGGACTCAGACCATAGACTCCTTACCAAGGAAGGGAGGCTACAAGGCTCTGGTTACTAACGAATACAGGAAAACCGTCAAGCTGACCAGGTACCGTAGAGAAAAGATGACCTTGAGTTATGCTGAATACCTTGCTCGTCGCCAGCATCATTGCTTCCAGAATGGCATCGGGCAGCCCCTGCCACCAAACAACCATTATTCTTGGTGCTGAGCGGCACAACCAGTCACTGGGCCTCTCTGCAGACCTCTTCCCAGGAGACCCTGCTACACCTTCTTGGTCTAGCCATCTCTTTTACTGTACCATTGTATGATAGTTTCCTTTGCCATGGTGAAGCTTTGACATTGTCATTGAGACCATCATGTTAACCGGTAGGAAACATGGCATTTGTTAAGAAGATCTTGTTGCCGGGTTTAGTGGGCCAGGCCTTTAATCCCAGCATTCGGGAGGCAGAGAGGCAGGCTGATCTCTGTGAGCTCAAGGCCAGCCTGGTCTACAAGAGATAGTTCCAGAACAGCCTCCAAAAGCCACAGAGAAACCCTGTCTCGAAAAACAAAAACAAGTGCTGGGATTAAAGGCGTGCTCCTCCATCACCCTCTAAGCGATTTTTTGCTAGTGATGTTAAATTGAATTAAGTTTATTTGAAGAGTGTGAGCGCCTCCATTTAAACAAAGTGGCGACTTTCCTTTTTTTTACAAATGGAAACCCATTGTGTGCCTCTGGTTTTCAGGGTTTCTGAATTCATTATACATAAGACCACCATTGATCCTTTATATACAAAGATAAGTTTTCCTTGTTTTTGATTATTGTTTCAGAAGAAAATGAACCTTTATTTTGCTCCAGACCCAGTAACTATGCTGGTACATGGACGCACCGAGGAAAACAAACCGAAACAAAAAAAATACTTTTGTAACCACCTCTGATAGCTTTGATATACAGAAAGCAGATTACTTTTGAGATATTTGGATCTAGTTTCTAAGTTCTTTTAGAGGGTTCTAGTTCCCCAAAATTACTTTGAGTCTGATCACCAGCATAAAGAGTTTTTGGTGACGTAATGGAGAAACTTGCAAAGAGCAAAAAGCCACCAGGAGCAGCTCTGCCTTCCCTTCTCAGTAACCTGGTGTTTCGATTCCAGTGAGACTTCACGGATTGCCTGAAACCCCTTCATTATAACTAGATTCTCCCTCCTTCCAGACTGAATTGCTTACTAGTTAGAAGAAGCTATTGGAAGTGGGCATTTCATATGACTTGTATGGCTTTAAAATATTAAAAATGAACAAAAAATATGGAAAGGTTTATGTGGTTTTTTATGGTATGGCTGTGGAAAGATACTGTAGTAGGTTTGACCCTATTGTAATTACTTTTAAAATCACTTACCCAATAAAATGTTAAAACTGAACAAAAAGAAATCACGCTTCTTCCTCATACTCCTCACACCCCATGACATGGCTTTTTTTGGGGAACTCAATTTGGGGACAAGACTAGCCTCCAAGCTCAGTTCTGCCTCCTCAGCCTTGGATTGTTGGGATTAAAGGTGTACACCACCACCTCCCAGTTCCCCTGGTAGTTTCATTTCAGTAGTTCAGATTGACTAAAGCAAAAGTTTTTTCCTGGGATTGCAGGAGTGAGAGCTTTTTCCTGTGTTTCCCTGGTGTATTCAGCCAGAGACTGGGCCAACAAGCTCTTTACTTTCAGTTGAAATGCTAAAGTGATATTGTCTAATCAAGTTAGGTTGTGGAAAGTAAGCAGATCATTTTCCTCTCTTGATAAATTCAGACTTTACTTTCTTTGTTCCTGTCTGGTCCTAACTAGAGGAAAACTGGTCTTCATGGTCCACCAGATTTCAGTGGTGTTGAGATCTTCAGTGTCTACATCAGGATAAGGACCTAAGCATATGGCTTTTACAAAAAAGTGTCAGGGGAACAGCTTTCCTAACTCTGTAGCTGACAATGGAAGAGGGGAGCGGCACCAAATAAAAGCTGTTATCACAAATCGTCCATATTGCCCAGCACCTGATGGTTTGGTTGGGTGCGATTGCCTGGAGTATCGGAGCAGTGTTAAGCAGGCTTTGTGTCAGACATGCGTTCCTGTGTGGCTTCTAAGGCAAGCTAGTTAGTTCTGAAAAAAACCTTTATGCAAGAGAACTATTTGCTTCAGACCAGTTTAGAAATTACCTCCCTGAACAGGAGTTTTATTTTTCTGTTCTCTGTAGATTGAACAGCACTGTAAATAACAATCCACATCTTAATCTTTTGCCTGCACAGATCCCTTCCAAGCAGAAGCTCACTCTTAGAAGACAACACACAGGCATACACAAAATTATATGAAGACCATTTAAGCCAACTCCTTGTGACCTCATGTGAACTTGACTCTGTTTCAATTCCATTTGTAACATGGAAGGGTAATCTGGTAGTCTCCCATGCATTTAATCCCAGCACAATAGAGCCAGAGGTAGGCAGATCTCTGATGTTGAGGCCAGTGTGAGTTCCATGCCAGCCAAGTATACACAAAAAAATGTTCTCTCAGACCGGGGGAAACAGTACTTAGCCTGTTAAGAATACCACCTGCTCATCCAGAGGACCTGGGTTCAATTCCCAGCACCCACAATGCACAACAAAACTTCAGTAACTAGTTTCACAGGATCAGACATCACTGCTCAGGCATACATGCAAGCAAAGCACCAATGAAGACTGAAATAAATCATTAAGGATTTTAAAAACCTGTAATTAACCCAAATAAAACTCATGGTTCTCCCAAATGGACTTTGATAGTGTCTGTGCTTTTTTCAGTCACTGGTTCCCTATCTTGGGTAATTAGACATTTGTTTCCTGCATCTCTACAGGAACAGTTTTATCACACAGCAAGGTCTCTCAGTGAGGTAGTATTTACAATACAAAAGAAAACTGAATTTACTGTTCCAGTGAGCAGTTACCTGGAATATTATACTGCGCACTGGTGAACATCTGATTCTACTTTCTTTTCTCCTTGTGGACAGTTTACTAGTGCCACGCTGGAGAGACACAGATGTGATGACAGGAATAAAGTCTTCACATAGAAAATATTTTTACTTCCACATGGTCCATCTAAAGACTGCATTCTGCATCTTTTGTAACAGGACAGACACTGAAATAGCATGTTCAATGGTTGCCTAGTCCATTTTCTGTTCTAACTTTTATTGCAATATCCTTAGCCATCAGGGAAATGCAAATCAAAACAACTCTGAGATACCATCTTACTCCTGTCAGAATGGGCAAAATCAAAACCAATGACAGTTTATGCTGGAGAGGATGTGGAGAAAGGGGAACACTTCTCCACTGCTGGTGGGAATGCCAACTTGTACAGTAACTTTGGAAATCATTATGGCGACTCCTCAAGAAAATGGGAATCAGTCTACCACAAGTTCCAGCAATTCCACTCAGACCCAAAAGAAGCACATTCCTACAACAAGGACACTTGTTCAAGATGTTCATAGCAGCACTATTTGTAATAGCCAGAACCTGGAAGCAGCCTAGGTGCCCCTCAACTGAAGAATGGATAGAGAAAATGTGGTACATTTATACAGTGGAAAAAACAATGGAACCTTGAAATTTGCAGGAAAATGGATGGGACTAGAAGAAACCATCCTGAGTGAGGTAACCCAATCACAAAAAGACAAACATGGTATGTACTCACTCATATGTGGAGTTTAGACATAAAGTAAAGGATTACCAGCCTACAATCCACACTGCCAGAGAAGCTAGGAAACAAGGAGGACCCTAAGAGAGACATACATGGTCCTCTGGAGAAGGGGAAAGGGACAAGATCCCCTGAGCAAATTGGGAGCACCGGAAGAGGGGGGAGGGAGCTAGGAGAATGAGAAGGGGAGAAGAGGGGACATGAGGGAGCAGAAAGTTTGAGTCAGGGGAAGAATAGAAGAAAACAAGAAAGGAGGAGATACCATAATAGAGGGAGACATTTTAGATTTAAAGAGAAATTGGGCACTAGGTAAATGTCTGGAGATCTACAAAGATGACACCAGCTAACAATCTAAGCAACAGAGGAGAGGCTACCTTAAATGCCCTCCCCTGATAATGAGATTGATGACTGACTTATATGCCACCAGACAGCCCTCATCCAGCAGCTGTTGGAAGTAGAAGCAGACACACACAGCTAAACCTTGAACTGAACTGGAATCCAGATGCAGAGAAGGACGAGTGAAGAGCAAAGGGGTCCATATCAGGCTGGTGAAACCCACAGAAACAGCTGGCCTGAACATCTGGGTACTCTTGCTCCCCAGACTGATAGCTGGGATACCATCATGGGACAGATCCAGACCCAACGAACATGGATTTCAGTGAGGAAACCTTGGAAATCTACCGGATCTCCTGTTCAGTACTTATCCCTAGCATAGGTGTGGACTTTGGGAGACCATTCCACATAGAGGAATACTCCCTGAGCAAAGACACACGGGGGTGGGCCTAGGCCCTATCCCAATGGATACCGTAGACTATGATAACGCCTATGGAAGGCCTCACCATCCAGGGGGAGCAGAAAGGGTATGTGATAGGGTTTTAGTTGGGAGGGGGTAGAGGAGGAGGGGAGGGAAAGGGAACTGGGATTGCCATGTAGAACAATCTTGTTTCTAATCCAAATATAAAAATCTGAGAAAAAACAGTTACCTAGATGTCAGTAGGTTCAGTTGGGGAAAACTGCCCCCGCCCTCCCCCACTGCGTAATTTTTCTGTAAAAGGTAAATTGCTAATTTTATACTGCGTGATTCTATTCTTCATAAAATAGGTTTCACTATTCTATATTAAAACTGTCATAAAATGAAAATAAAAGGAAAACCGCTTGCAGAAGATATTTTCTACTTTTCTTAAACTAACACATAAGAAACCATACTTAATAAATTGTTTTGAAACAATCTCAGGGTATGAGCCAAACTAACACAGATTAGCCCGCATCAGTATACCAGATCCTGAGATTAAGAACATGAACTTCTCTTGCTTTCGAGACTTCTTGGACTATACTGGTCCAGTGTGAGAGGTGTTTTCCACTCTCTATGCAACTCCAAGTCTGAGTCATCCCGTATACCCACCGTTGCTAGAGCTGCTCAGAACTTGGCTGTAGATATTAAGCAGCTTCTGGGATTCTGTCCACACCTGTGGTGGGAATTAGAGCTTCCACCGAGGCTCGCCCTTCAGCCACTACTGGGTCAGTCGGGGCTTCAGCCA